TCTAATTTCATCGATCATCCATCATAGAAACATCACACAATCCTTTCCCAAACATATCCGACGTTCAAGTCAAGGCAAACCCTTCGTGCGAATCGAGCATGGTCGACGGAATTGCGGATTGATCGACGTAGGAGGAAGTGCTTCGGCTTCAAGCCACAGGAATCTAGAACGAGAACGTCCCGCATCATTCGACGCGCACGTCCGTAATCGACGTGATACGCGGTGGGTATTAGCGCCTATTAATGATTAATTGATCGATGCCAGGAGGCTTCGTTTCACGTGTGTGACGATGCTACACGCTAGCTCCAGCCAGCGAGAACGGAGGGTCGACCCGGGTCAGATCATGCTTTGCGCCGAATCGTTAGAAAGTCCGCGCTCTGGGTCTCGCTGAGCTGCGTATCACGCTTCAGGTTAAGATGAGATATCCATCCATCGACTCGATGGCTCGTCCCGATATTGAGAAGTGTAGCTCGTTTCGTGCACTCGCGTTGTTAGAAAAGGATTCGCCGTAGCCAGGATAGAAAACTTTTGCGTAATAATTCAGATCTCAGAAGGACCTTGCCGATATCTTCAAGGACCAACGCAAATACCATCGTTTCTCTAAATGACGCGATTCTAAATTTTCCTCCTGTCAATAAGCGGCTTGCGGCAGTATCGCGATTTATCATGATTTATCAGATACAATTTATCCGTGGCGAGAGAAACGTGATAATTCTTAAACGATCGGGAAATGAAAAATGTATGATTCAACGCGACAGCGAACGGCTAACGACCATTCAACGAAGTTTCACGACTAGCACGAGTGTTGCTGAGAGTAAATAGAAACAAACATAATCATTTAAAAATGTCCTCGATCAATCTTCATCATTGGTCGGAATTGATTCAAAACGGTTAGAGCGTAATCGGATATTGGTCCCACACGGTCGCTGGAATACGAATAACGAATGGATGTCATGGAGGAACTCGTATGAGGATAAGCACGCGTGGGACGCGAGAACGCAGCATCCTTCGTGCGCGTCGCATCGCGGAAGACATATAAGCCACATTCATGACTTTTTAACGATCTAGGACAGAGCGACTCTACGTCAGCTCAGACACACGGGCGCGTTTATGTGTGTAGCGGATGCTTTAACCCCCTCACCCTGAATCCTTGGAGTCTATGGACTGTTGTACCGCATGACGTATTACCACAAGTTACATACCCATCACCTTCTCGCAATCGACGATTCGTAATTCTAAACGGGTACAATTACTTTCATTCTCCACGTTTACGTAATAGTACTCTATATGTCATCGAAAGTTTCACCGAGGTTCCACTGACGATAACGATATTGAAAAATGGAATTGTTGAGACTCATATAGAACCTCTAAAAGTTGAATAAAAGATATTTATTAACGCAACCGTATAAATAGAAAAATTTTTTTTAAATAAGTTTACAAGTTTATGATTTTATGACTTTTATAATGAGGATAATATCACACTAGATCGATTTATAAGATAAAACTGTTTACGCTATCAGTAGTGACATATGTAATTGCCCCCCTAAGCGAGTCTACATTTACATATATGTCTAAAACACATACTGTATTTATTATAATTATTACCAGAGAATAGTTCAATCGCTTCCAACTTCCCTCATCATGAAAATAAATAATCAATGTATTTTAAGTATCAATTGAGTACGTAGCAAGACTTGCAGCAATAATTACTTTCATTTTTCCGACATAGTTTCGCACTGTTGGCTCAAACGAAAGTGAATGCAGTAATATAACAGGTACGGATAAAGATCCGTACAGGACGGACCGTCATAATTCTAGCTAATCTATGAAAGGATCACTCGTGCTGTTGATCGATTCGCAGGAATCCTCCGCGACATTAGAATCTCGCGATGCCATGATTCTAAGAGGATTCATCTGCGTCGTAGTGCCATATTTGCCGAGCCAAGCATCGAGATTAAGAGCTCGTAGCCGAATTCAACGTGATAACTCGATAGATGAATCGAACAGCGCGTACACGAAATATTCCATGATGTAAATAACGACCGCGAGGTCGTCATGCGCAGAGAATATTATGGCTCCACTTTATAAATCTTAAGCGATTTGTTTAGGTTTCACTTTTATACGTTTTAATGATTCGATATTGCGTATTCGCGTGATCATTATAGACGCATTCATCGGCGGCTGTAAAGAGAAGATCACAGATCTGTCCGTGTCTGCACGTTAAATCGAACATTTATAATCGAACAAATGTAATAAATTGCTGCATTAATTATCTTTACGCGATATTATACTGTTGGAAAATGATATTAAATTTGTATTTAATTTAATACATTTTACGTATCTCAAACGATCCACTCAAATTTATGTGTTAATTCAATACAAAATGAATATGATAGAAATTTAACATAAATATCATTTAAGAAGATAAACACAAAAAAGGTAATACTGACACAGTTTGTAAACAAATGATGGCAGCATTTTTTTCAGTAAAATTAACATTTATATGTTAAATTAACACATATTTTATTCATTCGTCTTAGAATTTATGTTTTAAAACATATTATTTTTATGCTGTTTATTCACTTACTGATAAATTGTGTTATTTTGACACAAAGAAATTTTGAATATGAAGAAATTTAACACAATTTAAATAACAGAATCACATTATGTTAAATTAACACGTGAATATGTTAAACAATTCAACACAAATATTCAGCATTTGAGTGAATCGTTTCCAAAACCAATACAAAATATTTTTTTACTAAAAAATCGATAATACACAGTATCATTAATTCTGCGTTAATATAATATAAAAACGTTTACAAGGCAAACGTTTTTATATATCAATTGTACCGAATTTACGAAAGTCACTTGTGAAGCCATTATCCGAAATTATTTCGCGTACGTGTGTACTACAACGAGCAAAGAATGATAGGTACCAGGGTTCCTCTCAAACGTTGATTCTCGAGATGTGTAGCGGGGTCCCTGGAGGCATGTCAGTTTCGATTATCCTCGGCTATCGTTAGGCCCCGTTCAGCGCGTGCTCGCTCGCGCGAACGCAGTCGCGGTCCTCGAAACGTCAGACTGTCGGGGCCGTAAATTTTTTCGCGGGCGCCCACCTCTCGTCATGCATATTCATGAATACTCGAACGTAATCGAACGCCGCGCGAGCGAGCCAACGTAGAAGGAGACGGCGGGGTCCTCGAGCGCTTCGATCAGCCGTCGACTCAATTCAAGAATGACGAGGGCCAACCATGAGAGCGTATATAGATAAGAGCGGCTCAAGGATCACTGCTCCTCTTGGCAAACCATGTCGTGGAATACCGAGAGACGGCCGTGCACTTTATGCGAATCCCGAGACGACACGCACGACATTCGATTCTTATCTCGCGAAGGACCGCCACGCAAAAAGTGCAGGACGAGCGCGACGCGGTGATGGCGTTTCCGAAACGGCTTACAGTATCGTGACATGATCGAATTTGGTTTCAAACAACTTCGATATCGATACCGGATACCGGCGGATCGCTCATTAAATATATCGATGTTCGCGCGGTCATCAAGCACCGATGTAAAAACTTATGAAAAGCCAGTTATCCATCTTAATTATTGCGGGATGCTCATTAAGGTACACAAGAGAGTCGCTACGGTGAGTCTTCATTTTTCAGTTGCAAAATAACTTCCCAAAGTGAAGTGAGAGGAAATTGCGACTCGTGACACGGATGAGGAACTTTTCTACCACGATGCTGGAGTCATGGTTCTTGCTCTCTGTCAAGTGTGAGTGAACGATGTGACAGCCGAAGGAATAACTTTTGTCACGAAGCTGGTGAGGAGTGGCGTGGTGTTCAAGAGCTCCGTGACACCGCCGATCCGCGAAGTGGAAGATCGTATCGTGTATGCGCGAGATAAGCTTGTCGAGTTATCTGTAATTAATCAATTTGCGTCTACCTGGCGGCAGCCTGGTAATTACGATTCTCCGTTTTATCGCGAATTATGAAACCATTCATCGCGCGGTTCCTGAGCGCGAGCGAGAACGGGGGACCATCTGTGGAAAGTAGACCGCGCCCCAATTCTACGATGAAAGGTCGTTACTGCCGAACAAAATGCCGCGCTTTTAAATGAAGGAAAACGAGGGGAAGCGCCCAATGGGACGGATGAGTGAATAATTTCAGTGGACACTCGAAAATCCCGACAACCACGCCCGTGACTTCGCGGAAATAGCAAATGTTAGGTGGTCCGTAAAAACTATCATTGCGAGATCTAGTATTTCGCGGGCGTACTTCGTCTCAGAACGATAAAGAAAAAAAAAAAGACAAGGAAGAGAGAGAAAGAATGAAAAAGAGAGAACGAGAAGAAGGAAGGGAGGAGAAAGTATAGATACTACAAACTAGAGAGGGGTGGAGGATCAACGCTAGCTTCGAGGGGTCATTATAGAACTTTCCTAGCTGGCGCGCCGTCTCTCCCTACTCGCTAATGCCAGACTGTCCGGATTGACTGATGCCAGGTCATTCAAAGCCTTCTAGATCGCTTCGTTGCCTCACTAACGTAGAAGTCGGGAAGATATTGCGCGATTGATGACAGCGTGCACCATTACAGAGTTGGCTTTCAAAAGCCATTAAAAATAGTAGCTGCGTCCAACGCGATTCGTGCAACAATCTAACCGAATCGAAACATTTATCAGGTTTTTTCTTCTTTATTCAATGAATACGCGGATGATCATCGTATATGGTCATTATAATTTAAAGGAGTTTGTATAGCTCTTTTTATTTTCCTAAGTTAGAATTGTGTCAGAACAGAAACATGTTTCGAATAAAATCATCGCAGAAAAGTTTATAGAAAAACATTTGTCTCCAATGACAAACGTTGTGCAATCTTGCGCTTTAATAAAGGCATTAAAATTCGTTTGATGCGCTTGATGCAAGTACACGAACAATGACGTAAGTGCATTACTTATTTTTCCTTGTGGAAAACCGCATCGCGGTAAAAAGATCTCCTTGACTCACCTGTGAGTACTCGGCGCATATGTCGATTGATGAAACGTAATTGACGACATCCTCGATGGTCCAGCGATTTACGGCTTGCCCATCGCCGCAAGGTATGTGGCCATAGAGAGTCGGACACCTGACCGGCGGAGGTGTGGTTGGTCTCGCGGTAGGTTTCGGTTTGGGGGATACGCTTTCGGATCTCCTTGTTTCCGTCCTTTGTCGCTTACGAGGTGCGAAACCACCGGGACTCGAAAGGTCCAAGGGACTCGTCACCCCCGTGTCTCTTTTGTTCGCGCCTACGTTTCAGAACAAAATAAAACATTGCTGTCTAATCTTCCTCAAAATTGATTAATAATATGCCACATGAACATACAACATAGCACATAAAATATCTTGTAACGAATTCGATTGGATGCACTCAGTATGCACTTGTAATAAAGCTGTCATACACAAATTGATGTAAAAACGTGTGTTTAATATAAATATAAAAGTGCATTAACCGAGAAATCCTCAATGTATTTTATTATGCTGTAAGTAAAATATATATTTCATAATTTGAAAAATTTGTATTTCATTTTTGCACAGATTAAATCAGTTTACGACTTTAACATACAGTGCGCACTAATGCTTCAAACCAAATTTGCTATTAAGAAGCATGGATTTTTATCTACGAATGCTTTGATCAATCTAGAATTGATTTTCTTTTATAAGAATAGGTTGAGTATCAAGGTATCAATCGATTATATATAAATGTTAAACAATTAAAAATTGAAGGCGCGTAAAAATTAGTACAAAGTCTATAATTTACGATTGAAAGATAATTCTGATTTCTTTTTTCAATCATAAAGTGATGTTGATCTCTATATAATATCATTTCTCCTCTATTTAAAAATATAGTATACTTAATTTTTATGACACTTACCTTTGAGATATGTTTCCAATTCTGCAGCGCTTTGTGCCGCATTGGCAGTTCGCACCATGTGCAAAAGAGCCTGGGTGGATGACATATCGATCATAGGCGGAAACACAGGACTGCCGAAGAGACTATCCTGCTTTTGCTCTTTCGGATCTTTGTTGGAGAGCGGTGAGGTCGTCGGGACAGTCGATGGTTGCGGAGCTCCTAACGGCGCCATTAGACCAACGAATGGCGTTGCTGCAGCCTTGAAGGCTGGAAACCTCGGGTCTAAACCCGGAGGATAACCGTTTCTTGGTGTGCTAAAGTAACTGAAATAATCAATCCTTAATCATTAACTTCTTATTATAAATATAAAAAAAAATACTCAATGCTACTATCACAATCGCACGTAAAAACATTTCAAATTTTTCAGACTCAAGAATATTTTTCTCATCTTTCATCAAATATAAAAAATGCTATTTTCGTAATAAACATGATGTATATGATATAATAAATTATGAGTTTTAATTTCTTGACATGACTCAATGCCAAACGAGAAAATAGATTCTTCTATTTTCCGATTCAGCGGATTATCTAGACGCCGATTAAATTTAGCAAAGCGCAAACAGATATGCTAAAGAATCGAACCTTCTTCTTCAAATAGCAAGGATCGCATTGTTAAAATCTATGTTCAACACTTAACTAAGTAATTAAATAATCATTTGATCTGTTTCCAACCATGTGCCAGAAGATACAAAGTTAAAAGTCAACGTACGACGCGACAACCGGTTTCGTGCAAGTACGTTAAGTCCCTCGAGTACTCTGTACGTCTTATGAATCTTAATCACACGAATTACCTATTTGCAGCCTTCAAGTCTTAATTCTTTTACATCGTCTCGCAGTGTTCGTCAATATACTTGCATGTTATGTTCCAACAAAAAATATTCAAAGACATTTGCAAAATCTTTCCTTAATCATACAAGACATTAAGACAAATTTTATGACACAGGCTCGATACAACAGTAATGAAGCAGTATTTGCATGTCAATTTTTAATTGGCATGTCAATGTATTTATTTACAAAGAAAATCGAAAGTGATGTTAGTATTGTAATGTGTGCCTTTCCGTAATGTTAATCTCGCAATCTATTTATAGGGATTATAATTCTACGATGAGTAATTAAAAGTGATCAATAAAATGAGATGGACGTACTCGTTGGGGTTGGCGTTGTTGTATTTGGCGGCGAGACTCCTCATGAAATCACTATAGTTTCGCCCCATCATCTGTTCCATGTGCTTGAGATGATGAGGTGGCGGTGGACCGTCAGGTCCTCCCAAGGGCGTAGCATTTGGCGGCGTCCCCGGGTGACTCGATGAAGAAGGCGTCACGCTCCTCGACGACGTCGAGTTATTGTCAGGCGTGAGTCGTTCCGTTTTAACCTGCAACGTGATAGAATTGCCTTTCTTTAAACGAGACATTACCGCGCGCAACCGGATGCAATAAAAAGGAGCAAAACGCGCAGCAATTAACCGGTAATATAATAAAAAGAATGGAGATATAAACGGAAGTATTAATTAGTAAACAACCAGGAAACACAACCCGGGTACGATAGAAGTGCGTTTAACACTATTTCATTTAACGCTAGAAAGGATAAATTAATAATATTTTCAAATGCAAGCTTTTTTTTATTAAGTACATTCACTTAAAACATTAGATTAATATAAATTATATGTATTTAAGATATATTCACAAAAACATTTTGTTATATTTCATCATAAAAAGAATATTCCACTTCAATTAATTTTATATTCAAACTTTAAATTCTGGAACAGTGTTTCGTTCGCGCATATACTTAGACGATATAAATAGGATTAATAATTTTAAATTGTTAAGTGTCCTCGCGTAAAGTTGCCAGCGGTATGTCTGCGGATTACTCATTTCATCTTATCCATGGCAACAATAATTTTACTATCTTTATTACCGCTGTGCTTTATGTTTGAATGTTGAAGGCCACAGCACAGAAACAATGCATCTTTAAAGAAAAAAAGAAACGTTTTAGCCTTTCCTCAACATTGTTTTCTGTGTGGAACTAAAAACTGCTACACGTTTAAAAAGATGCATTTAGAATATGTGGATAATAATACTAATGAATGATCAATCGAAAAATGACATAAATGACTACTTTCCATACGATTAGTTACACAGACAGAAAAATGTTCATTACAAATAATTAAAAATAAAAAAATAACGCGCGCAACACTGAATAACGAGTCGAGACAGATAATTATCAACGATAATTATTATTGCTTTTGTAATAAGACCAAGTCTATTGTATCACAGATTACCATGTTCTTGATTTACAGCCAGCGCGACTCTTTAACACTAATAAACAAGCTTCATTTGTATACACAAAAAATTGTTCCAACCTTCGAAGCTCAGTTATCAACGATGGACCACGCCTTCGACTGTGAAGGACGCTTATCGGCAGTTGCTGAGCACAATATGTCTCGCTCGGGCGAGATGCGTGGCGGTAGGAAATATCCCGGGTGCATTAATTCCCGGGAACAGATTGCATCTGAGATATGGTAATGAAGGCAACGCGTGGCGTAAGAGTTGACTCCTCTTCGCTCGGCACGGCGAGAGAGCGCGCCGTGACACTAAGAAGAACGAGACTCGATTGGCGTAGAATAGGGTTCCCGAGAGCGCAGTCCGAAGACCGCGGCAGAGGCTACGGTAAATCTCTTTCTCGCCTTCAGACCTCTTCCTGACAAGGGACCGCTTCAGGCTCAAGGCGCGGGCACGATTCTGTATATATACCTACATTTCGAATGAGTCTCGCTCGATGCGACCGATACGCGCAACCAGGTCTCGATAGAGAAAATACGTGAAGACATGACAACTGTACGAGCAAGAGAGCCTCGAAATTAAACCGATCGTTCTCTTTCAATATAATTAATCTTCATTCGACTGCAGTAGCTACATAAAACATACGTTGTTGAATAAAATAGCAATATAAACAGTTATAAATAAATAATTAATATCAATTTCCACATAAATATTTTGTACATATTTTAAACGAAATCTTAGCATTTTTTTTCTTTTTAATGGCTGCGTTCAGCTTTGTGACACAGCGTTATAAAATTCTTTAATATAAGATTGATTTTGTTGTCAGATCCCTTACGGAATCCAAATGTATAATAATCTAATCATATTAAAGAATTTTACAACAGTTGCAAAGTTGTTCTTTTTTTTTTTTTTGCTAAACGCAGCAAATATAAAAAAAAAGAATATCTCGCAACAAAAAATTGAGTTTTATATATAAGATACATGACGGTTTTTAATACTGTAAATTTTTTCGCATATTCTCTTTTTTTTTCTAAATAATCCCAAACGAGAGAGATTAATCTTCCTCCATTCTTACTCATCGAGTCTCTCAATTCGATTCTAGTGGATTACGGATGCCGAAAGTTATAAGTCACGATAAAGCTCGCCGCACGGGAGATTAATTTCTCGAGTTGCTACTATTCTTCGGAGAATACTATCTTTCCTATTCGTATAGCCTGCGGATCTGAGCTACGAGAAATTCTTGCGCGTCATGAATTGACTGTTCTTTTTACCAATGATGATCAATTTTTTACCATCGCAGCTCTAAGTATCGCTAAGCAATCGTCAAAGACTTCCCTTTTTATTCTTTCTTTTTTAAGTCAAGTCATTTACAGAAGCGCCCTGCCAGTCGACGGATGTCAGCGGCGGGATGACACTGCGGCTTTCGATGCGGTTGACATAGTTGCTGCATGGTTAGCTTTGAACGGGACTGGGACTCTCCGTGTACACGTGTTCGGGCTACCGCTCGAACTACAGGAGCGATGGACTCTCTCGTCGAGGATATCTCCCGAGACTAGCGCACGTGTCCCGAAGTGGTACGCGAACGCTCAAACACTCCACTTCACGGAAGAAGTCAAGCGGGTCTCTCTCAAAAAATTTGTACGACAAATCTCGCGTCCTTCTCGACGGAAGAAAAAAAAAGGAAAAAAGAATAAATAAAAATTCTGAACGACGTTCACTCACGCTACGTCAATACAGTAAGGTGAACGTCGTGTTTGCCTATGTGCGTAGAAGTTTTGTGTACCGTGTCAAAATTTAATTCCATCGTGGACTTTTTCGAAAATGGATAATCAGAGATGAAAGAGCAAAAGTACGATTCAAAGTATAGATATTAGATGTTTAATTACGGTGCAATTATAAAAAGGTTTTACTTACTTGGGTAGTATCGAGACCATTCTGGTTTTGTCGCCTCCTACCACGTGGAGGTCTGGGGGTTGCCGCACCGGACAGATGGGTGCCCTGAGGGCTTCCCCCTCTGGCGTCGACCGCTGTGTTTGCTGCCAGGGTGGCCCCGTCGTTGTTTTCCGTGTACGTACCTAAATCCGCCGCCTCTCCACGGTCGCCACCACGTGGTCCTGTACCCGTGGACACGTTCTCGCCCGACACCTCACCTGAAAATGAAACACACACACGAGGGGATATATCAAATTTCGATCCGCTTTTAAAAAGTATTAAGCGCGCGCGAGATCTTCGTCCCTAATATGCTTCTTAGCCCGCTCGATTTTATCAAGTTATATACGAAAGATTAAACCACATATTTCCAAGACACAAGACGCGATTTTAAGAAGCTATTAAGAGATTTCAAATGATCAGAGCAATGACCCTGGCAGAGCACACTCAACTCCAAATTTGGACTTTTGACGAGAAGATAAATTCGCCGTATTTCAACCATATTTGTGTCCCCTCAAGATGGCTCGAGTTTCGTAATAATGCGGCGGTCCTCGCGTCTTGCGTCGTAAAGCTTTCTGAACATCTCGCCGTGTAAACGGCGTCTTTCGACACAGAGGGAATTTAGAATGAAATACGTTAAGAGAAAAAGAGGGATAATCGTATAGGACACGATTGCACACGGTGGCGGTGCTAGCCATTCGCACGCGAGATTTACGCTCAATAAATGGCCTCGTCCTGGCGCCATTATCTTCTTGATCAGAGACGCGTATCTACCGACGTAGAGCGAAACGGAAAACAGCGTAAAGGCGCGGAGAACGAAGAGAACCGACGGGAGAATCGAGGAGGTCACTGTCCACTGCGACTACCTAACATATCCAATAAATTCTTGTCATCGTTAAACGCCTGGAATTTTATGGAGGTAGTAACTCGTCCGTACCGCCGAATTTACCGGCCGATACGATCGGCCGCGATTAATGCAGCGATGGTGCCAGCAACGGTGCCAGCAACGGTGTCGGGAGAAGATATGAGAACTTTGTATTTCGTAGCTCTTTTCGCGATATTTTGTACATCGGTATTTTCATTGCAACAAATCTTCTTTGCGTGCGATTATAATTTCATGTGGCGTTTCATTATATCAACTATTGTCCGCAACAAATATTTCACAGATAATTAATAACGTTAACCGTCTTCCATAGTAAGGTATAAGAGACTTTCAGTTACTGATTCGCGTTTGTCAGATTTTTGTCCCAAACATATCCACAATAACAAATGTCCTCGTAGTAAAATCGACAGCATCGGAAGTATGCAAACGGATACTGCGATTATTTTTATAATGCACCAAGTTAGCACCTCCGAAAGGCTCAGCTCGGTTGCTATCGGATTATATTCTACAATCCGGTTGTAGAAGCGGCTTCACGGCGTCGAGCGGAATACGGACCGAGGGTAGCGATCGTAAAAGCCACTTCTATGACACTCACTGCCAAATGTCTTCATTATTTCGAGTTAAAATATTTACAGCTGCCCATAAAAATTCCATTAGACACTGTTTGTTAGTAGGAAAACCATCGCCCTCCGAGAGGTGAGGCGCTCAAAGATCATGCTTTCGACGCACCTCGCCGTAAATGACATCCAAATAGTTATAAAATTGGAAAGTATGCGGGCAACAAACATTGTACGCATCGTTTCTTGACGAATTAGCCACAAGAACGATATAACGGTACATCAGACGATACATTTAACGAGAGGTTTTCGGAATATATAACTTAATCAATTTTGAATTAATTTCCATGAACGTCGTTGGCTGAATGATTTGTGGACTGCTAAAGATTTTATAGTAGCCTATTAATTACACAATAAAATGGAGGGAATGTAAAATACATGTTTCGATGAAAAGTATAACTACAATTTAACTTTATTAAGTTGTTGAAATCATAATGTGCCAGAGAAATATGAATTTCGAATTCCTTGAATATAAATTCCTGTTTAATAGGAATAAGAAGTATCAGGAGGATATATTGAGCATTATTTCAACATTTACCTCTTGACGGATTCTCTATAATCGTCGCGTTCCGCGTAACAGGATTTTTTTTCACATTTTCTCACGGTTTTTTTGCGAGTTGGCGGCGGTAGCGCTTCGATGGTGCATACGACAAACATCGTAACTTCAGGAACTTTCAAAGCAGGGAGTCATTGTTTAAAGATCGTCCGCGTCTTGTTGTCTAACTTTGGCTTAACGACATTTACATAGTGGTACAAAAATGATATGCAGCTGCATTCGTGGGATTAGTTAAGATTTGAACTGAGAGACAGAAATATACAGAAGAGTGCCTCTTCATTTTTGTACAATTTTGTCGCAAGAAAATACAAATATGTTATAAAGCAATATAATAGAGTTAACAATGCAATGAGATTTTCTGTAAAAATGTGACAAAGAGACGGTTAAAATAGTGTACACACAGATTTAGCCTAACAGTAAATATGTTTAATACTTACTCATTTAAGTATTTGTGAAAAAAGAGAAAAGGATAAAATTAACGGATTTTAGCCTAAATGATGGAACTTAATTTTTTTCTTATACGCTCTTACGATTCAAACATTAATTGAGTTATTAAATTTTCAAATGCGAGTTTAAAAGAGAGATTATAAAGAATTGTTTTGAAAAGAGTTTGAATTAATATTTCTCTCGTTTTTTTTCAGTAATATATTGCTAAATATATGGCACTGCATTTATCATTTAAAAATATTACAGATGAGTAGTTTACAATAAATAATATTTCCTGAAAAAGTTTATCAGAAGATTTCGTTGCGTGCAAACGAGGGATGTTAACAGCAGCGAAATACCTATGGTGAATACTGAGAGCTACGTAAAGTCCGAGTGTGAAATATCGTAACGACGTGTTAAAACGAACTAATGTGCAGCGCACGTATCTCCCATGACACACCCGCTTCGTGAAGCCCGCGCTTCGAGGTTGCATTCGCCAATGCAACCAAAATGCGACGCTTGAATCACGATACTTTGATGTCTCAATGACAAAGTGATAGATCAATTCATAAACTAAAAAAATAACAGACGAAATTCAAAATTTCTTTTTCCTTCTATTCGTCTCACGTCAGTATTTTTATTTTTAGTCCAACGCGACGTTTGACAGAAAACAGAAAGTATAACGTGGAAAATGTGCGTGAGAAAGAAAGCGATGAAAAGAACCCGCTGCTGTGCCGCACAAAAACAGTAGCTCGCTTCTTGATTTCAACCGATATATCGCGTATCTTGAGACACGCGTGTAATTTACCGGTTTAGTGAAGCTGCCTGGATGATAACTATTTCGTTCCCGGGCGAGACAGGTTTCCACGAGAAAGAAAGCCATCGGAAGACATCGAGATGGGACACCAGGAACTTATAGTAATCGCGTACAGCATAGTCATAAATTATCCAACGTGACCATGACTAAAATGAATTGACCTTCGAGGTCGCGTACGAAGTGCCGTCGCGACGGGAATAAAACCGGCGCGGCGGCCTCTCCGTTGGATCGCTGTTAATTATTCCAGCGTTAAGACTTTAAGAAATTTCACTGAGCTGGGAATTTTTCCACGATCTCGTGGACGAGATTAGAAGCGGACCGGAAAAGTTGTGTAATATACCACGCGATATAGGGATCGATCCAGCATCCATCTCTGGCACAGCGGAAAACGACAATAGGATGCTTCCGCGCGACGCATTGTTCAAAGAGTGACCTAAAGATTCATCAGCACGAGTTCTCATACATGTGAACACGTGTGAATTAACGTGTTTAATTGAAAAGTCGAAATACGAACGGAAAAACTGACTAGCAATAGTGTACTAAACTACATTGATAAAATCTAACGGACATTAAATTGTTTTTTTGCATATCGACATATTATTGATCAAATATGGTAAAAATTGCTATTTGCGAAGAGCATTGCATTACGCTCCATTAAACAGATAATATTTCAGATTAAAGAATTTAGTACTGCATCCGCTACTCAAAGTCGAAGTACTGTTCAACTTTCCCCTTCATACTCGCCCTTTTCCTTTTATAATATTAGCGTAACAACGATAGATCGAGTCTCACGGCTTTTCGATCGATCCGCTGAAAGCCGGATGCGGGCGCATACACGGCGTTTCTTCCGCTCGCAGCCGGCCTCAGCAAGGCTGGCCCACTACTACTCACATTCACTTCGCTGGCGCTGGAGCGAAGCGAGTGGGTCTTCGTGTGTGCATATGCGTGAAGTGTAAGCGTGTACGTCGTACGGACGCGTACGTCCGCATCCGGGGTCGGCCCGACGCTTAATGAACGATCAAACCCGGTTCTACGCGTCGCGCGGCGCGTAGTCCATCATTACGAGCTACTGCAGCGAGGAACATCGCCGTTCCTTTTTGTCCTCTCCGTTTTCATATGCCTGACTTTTCCCCCGCGATCTCGCATAGCAAGCTGCTGAATGAAAGATGATTCTATTTTTCCGCTACATGCGCGAATCATCTCCGGGATCCTGGCAATCCTGCTGAGTCAAACCAATTCAATAGTACCGCGAGCGATCTCATCTCGTTTGCGAAATAAAAAAACGCTGTAAATTTTCATTTCTGCCGCTAATGAAATATGCATTCAATGGAAATATGTCGTAGCTCTGAATGATTATAATTTTGTAATGAGAATTACAAAATTATAATTATTAAGTATTTTTAATCTTTGATTACAGAAACTAGACATTACAATAACATTACCGCGCAATTCACTTCTCCAAAGTAAATTAATCATTTATCTCCTTTGACAAAAATTTATGTTATTTGATAATTAAGTACAATATAATAATATAAAATTATTTCAGAAGAAATGATAATCAGTTATCGTTTTGAAAAGCATGCGGAGATCGTAACGTACGTAACATATTATATGTTACCGTCATCATTAATTATCACTGGTTTATCGCGACAGTTTATTGTCGTCTAATTTATAACTCATAATAGATATAACGATGATTGTAATTGACTTCAACGATCTTTAAAGGTTGCAAATGACAGTTCAAAGAGAGACCAGAATTACCAAAGCGGTGCACTATCGACTATTATTGCCCTTTTGCTGGATTAATTTTTCGAAATTCGCTGAAAGTTGTGACTAACTGGACCGAGAGTTACATGAGATAACTTAAGTTATGTAATAGTCACTTCAAAACAAATAACTATTAATGAAAAACTCTTGGAGCG